TGATATTACTTCACTTGCTTGATCACCCACTTGATATCCAGTCCTTTGTCCTTGTTTGCATCTGAGAATAGTCAGAAGGGATCAGGCTGCCAGGATGGGTACCTGAATGGACTTGCAAGGTACACCACATGTGAGCAAAAATGTCACTGTCTGACCACACTAGACAGCATGCTTATCTGTGTAAGAAAAGAGTGTGTGAGCCTTCTTTTATTCAGGAACAGTCTTAGGAGATTGCCCAAAGGCATCTCCAGGGGGACTGCAGGTGGAATGTCTCCATTTCTGTGAAGATACACTTTCCCTTTGAGAAAGTTTTGCTGTGGTGGAGGGCCTCCATTGTGCGATGGTCTGTAAGCAAACTGGTCTCGGTACAAACATGAAAGCATGTGACAAATGTAACTGAGTTACCTGTGTTTACAAACGTAGCCCATAATGATAATTATGACAATGTAAAATGGGGATTTCTCATGAAGAGGTTCTGTGTATGAGAAGCTGCAAGCATAAAAGTTGTCTCATTACTTTAAGCTGGCTTTACTATTAATGCGCATTGTTTTGACCTTTAAGAGCTTCAGGCTCAACAACAGGTTCAAAGCTGTGCATACTGTTTGCTCAAATGAATAAGGCACAGTAGGAAGAAACTACTTTATTAAAAGAGAAGAATCATACCTCTTACTCTGTAAATACTATTTTTTTTTCAATCTAAACCTACTCAGTGCATGCATACGTTTGTGTGGCTTTAAGAAAAATGTATTTACAATGTCAGACACTGTAATCCATCACTATAAATGCTACTTTTGCAATTGCACTTCAGCAATATTTTTTAATTCTGATGGCAATGTGAAGTAAAGTTGCCAGTGCTAAGTCTGGGGCCTAAGCAAGAGCCCTGTCATAAGCAGTAGTGGCAAGCGCAGCTCTGCCTAACGAAGAGCCTCGGGCCCTGATTCAGAGCCGACCAGAGCCGAGGCACAGTCTCGTCAGCTGTGGATGGCTTCACAGCAGAGCTCATACTTGGTAGAGCAAGGTTCGAAGTATGTCCTGCCCAAGAGTTGACACATTTTGACATACCCCATGGCAATAAGCAAAATGAACCGTAACGTATCTTATTTGCTTTGTACGTCGCAGGGCCTTATGCTGAGAAGGGTGACAGTCTCCCCCCGGCATCTGAGCCGGCCGGCCTCGCACTCGGTCATGGTCCGAGGGGCAGCAGAGCCACTCACTTCAGCACAGATCTGGATGCCTCCCTCCTCACACGGCCTGTCTTCGTCACAAACACAGCTGTTGGATTGCGCTAAGAAAAGCACAGAGGAAAAACACTCAGGATGGCATCCGACTCAATGAGAACCAGATTAAAAGGTTTCCAGCAAAACCATAGGATTGACAGCAATTTTCTGGAGGGTGCTCAGCACAGGAAAGACATGGACCTGTTGGAGTGGGTCCAGAGGAGGCCACAACAATGATCTGAGAGATGGAACAGCTCTGCTGTGAGGACAGGCTGAGAGAGTTGGGGTTGTTCAGCCTGGGGAAGAGAAGGCTCTGGGAAGACCTTATTGCAGCCTTCCAGTCCTTAAAGGGGGCTTAGAAGAAAGATGGGGACAGACTTTTCAGCACGGCCTGTTGTGATAGGAAAAGACAGAATGGTTTTAAACTAAAAGAGGGCAGATTCAGATGAGATCTAAGGAAGAAATATTTTGCACTGAGGGTGGTGAAACACTGGCCCAGGTTGCCCCGAGAGGTGGTAGATGCCCCAGCCCTGGAAACATTGGAGGTCAGGCTGGATGGGGCTCTGAGCAACCTGATCTAGTTGAAGATGTCACTGCTCATTGCAGGGGGGCTGGGCTAGATGACCTTTAAAGGTCCCTTCCAACCTAAACTATTGTATGGTTCTACAATTCTATGATTCTTTTCCTAACCAGAAGTAACATTAGCAGGTATCAGTGGAAAATACTGGATTCAGTATACTGCTGGGGCTTTCCCTGCTCAGACATGTTGGTTGTGCTTGTGGGAAAAGCTTGCTCAAGGTGCCTGAGATACTGTTTTCAAAGACTTCTCTGATGTTGCTGCTTGAACTGGTTCGTGTATCTACTGCTCCGCAGTTCATATAACATATGAGAGATCTGTCCTTGGACAGTAACCAAGTGGTCATGCAGACACTTAAAGCTGGTGTCTTTATTTACATACAGGCAGTTTCCCTAAGATCCAAGGATCTACTAAAAACAAATGTACACAATTCTGTCAGTGGCAACAGCTAAATAATCAGATAAGAAGGTCCCATCTGAGATTTATTTTTCGTAAATGTGTCCTTGTTTTGGTGTTATATGTTTATTTTTTTTTGCCTGTGTTTGTGCCTGCTGAAGCTCCAGACAGTTTTTATTATCTTTTTTTGTTATTATTTTTGTCTGTTCAATCCTGTTATATGAAACAGATTAAATCCTATCAAGTAATCTTTTTTATTTTCCAAATATGACAATAACTGTGCCTCTATCTGTTGCACTTCTAAAAACCTAATTTAATTCTTTATCTTCCCATTTCTGGCAACCTCCCATTAAATGCAATGTAGTGTAGGACACTCAGGGAAATTAGATCAGGGGATTTGAAAACTTCCACCGCAGACAGATCACAAAAGACTGGGACTATTTCATCTGAGGGAAGAGACAGTTACCTTTGATCATAATACGAGAAACTGGGGATAGGCAGTGAAGTACAAATAAAAGAAAGTGGCTTTCCTAGACAGTATAGAAAAAGACGTTAAATTCCTTGCCACAAGATACCACTGGGGAGATTACTCAGCAAATTTCAGGAAAGAATTAGCTATTCCTGTGGGCAGTAACAACTACCACAGTTACTGTGTTAAGGAATTTAAAACAGGTGGATACAGTGAAAAAAAAGTAGGGGAAAGGTGTCATCCAAAATTTCCATAGGACCAACAGGGCAGCCCACTTAACAGGGACTAGAAATAAGCTTTCCTGTAGATACTGCATTTTGTTGTGATATCCTGTGGGGTTTTCTGTTCCACGGTTGGAGTTTCCTGCCGTGTTTGGATACCAAACACTGGACTGATGGTTTGAGCAAGCAGTGCCTGGTGCTTATGGGAGGGACTGGAGATACTGTACCAGGATAGACCTAATGCATAACCGGGGATAAAGATTTCATTTTTGTCATATCAACAATTTTGCTTAAATTGTAAAGAATCTCTTACCATCACATTTTTCCCACAAATGGCATGATCCACATGATATTGCAGCTGCTTGAGGTATTTTGCAGTTTTCTGCATTAGTAAGAGAATATTTTCTGCCCATGCATTCCAAGGCATGCATCTTGCAAACAGTTAAGGGTGTGTTTCTTTTGGTTCTTTGATCTGTAGCACAGGTGTCCAGGGAAGGACTGAAAACAAAAGCAGGGATCATGCTATTTAAGTGTGCTTTATCTTGGTACCTTGGATAAAGAGCTGAGGGAATGGAAAACATTCAGGGTCTGGTTCCGTTTTCTCCATTCATTGAGATACATCCTACGAGTGCAGCAAGGGAACTCGAGACATATACATGTGAATAATTCAGACTCCTTCCTTTTTCACAGGATGCTGCATCTCAGCAGAGCCAGGATCCGTTCCCCCTGAAGGACAGGGATATTGCTGGGTATTTGCCATTGACGTCAGTAACAATGAGAGTGAGATTTTAGTTAAAAGGAGTTCAGACCTCATTACACACGCATGTGCCTAAGTACATACACAGAATAAATTTCATCTACACATATATGAAAATATTTTATAAGTATTTCTTGATTATAAGAGATGAGAATATACTTAAAGACCTTTTCTTTGCTGTCCTTAAAAGCTTCAGCTTTTACCAAATAAAATGTTATGATTCAGCATCAGAGACCAAAGATAATTCTGGAAATATGCATACATGTCCACAAAAATTTTAAGAAAAACCTGCTGTATTTATCCAGGGAATTTGCTTCTTTATGTCTTGAAATTCAGATATTGTTCTAACACCCATAAAAATTAGCTTGTAAAAGTGGTAATAACAATTCTCGGACAACCTTAAACATTGTTTGCTTTAGGGACAATTCCAGGAAGTTGTTATCATTTGTGTTTCATGCTGTTAAGTGTAGGAGGGAAGGAAAGAGCTGTTCCATTATTTCTGGATTTTAATCTCAAACCCCAAAATTCTCCACTTGTGCTCAATGCAATCAGTGGCACCTGTGTACAGTGAACAACAAAAGTGCCTCTTCAGAGCAGGGCATGCCTCTGCTCTCCAGGCTGTACTTTACAGCCACAGGTATGGTGCTGCACAGGGTTCAAGAGAGGAGAGACGTGCTCCCAGGGCATGGAGAGCTTTGAAATATGGCCCCAAAGGCTTGTTTTCAGCACAGCTCCTCCTTTTAAGCTCACAAACACTCCCAGAGAAACTTCTGGTGTCTAATGGCTCAGTTCTGAGGGTCAAGCTCAGCTAAATAGGTGTTTGGTGGGGAGGAGAGGCTGATGAGGTACAGTCAAATGGCCCTAATGAGCTTTATGAGGCTGCCTGAAGGGGAGGGTAACAGTCCCTGTGAAAGTGACTTGCCAGTGTGGGGAAGAGGAATTTGGAAGAGGGAAGGTGTGGTAACAAAAACCTTGCTCACTTGCTGGCCAAGTGCTAAGGTAACTTTTCTTTTTTTTTCCCCCTAGGAATTAGGAAGTGGGTTTAGGTTCATCTATAAATAAGACACTGAGGAAAAGTGCCTGCTCCAAGATCTGGCAATGGTTCTTTGAGAGATGGTTTTGAAGCCTTTTAGAAGAATAGCTGGCTTTACAGAAAGTTTAAACTATATGCAACATAGTGCCTTTTTAAGATATTTAAAATTTGGCACAGGGCTCATCAGCTGAGCCTGAAAACTTTGCTGTGTCTACCTACCACTAAAGATTATTAACTGTATCACATCCCCTACTTAAGTTAGCATTCTCAATGGCACTGGGTCCCTTAACTGCTGTGCTTAGTCAAAATATCAGCTACCAAATCCTTAGTAAAGTTTGTTACCTGAATTTTCCTTAATGCTCTTTTGCTAACATAAAGAATGAGGTTTACTCCCTTATTTTGAGGCAAAACAGCCCAATGGATACACAACTCCAAGCACTTGATAAAGGAAGCCCATGCATTTGTCTGCATTATATCGTTTGCTTGACTGGCTGTACAGCCTATGAGTTAGTGGTGCACTGATTTATAATGTAAGAGTTATATTTACAGAGAGAGGTATAAGAAAAACTTAGTCATCAAATATCATCTTAAGTTTGGAAGAATTAAGTGTGATGCAGGGAAAGCATCTAATCTGTAATTAAGCTGTTTATTCTGTTTAAAATTAGTTAAAGTTCAGAGGCCTTCTTTATTCACCTGAATGATAAATCTCAATATTGAGTCTTAAGGTCAAAAACTTGTATACAAGGCAGCTTAAATTAGCTGAAAAGACTAAAGCCAGACACAAGTGCATTAATCTGTCTGCTGTGCACCACTTAACCAACACCCAAAAGAGGGGAAGTAGGCTGATTGAACCAGCTGCCAAAGGGAGTTCATGATGAACTCATGGAATTCCCATAAGTTCCCATGAACCCAGGGAGTTCACAGTCCATGCTGCCAATCTTTATCTACAGTATAATCCCTCAAACCCTTTTAAGAGTGCTTCACATATTTGCTATGGCTGGGTCAGCTGGGAGAAAGCCAGTGGAAATCAACATGTTCAGATGCATAAGAAAAAAGATGGAGAATCTGCACGCATAAGATAAATTAATAATTTGCAGTCATTGCTGAGAAAGGATACTACAAGACTGAAAGCATGACTGCAGTGCAATAAAAATTGTTAGAGGCAAGGAATAATTCTTGTGTAAAGTGAATGTGAAAAATCCAATACCTTTTACCTGAAAAAGGCGGCTTGGGTAAGAACAAGCTTTTACTAAAGCACATACCATGAGAAATAAAATAGCAGATATAAGTCAGCAAATACCCCTCTCCCTTTCCCCCACAATGAGAGGCAGGCAACTTCTGGTGAAACTAACAAGTGAAAAATTCAGTATGCTGGAAATTAACAACTTAAAATTATATTCAAGACCATAAGTTTTACTATAACATAGGCCAAGAACTCCTAGGGGTATCATAGATGCTACACAAATAAATGTGGGGGAAAAAAAAAAAGGGATAGTATTCCAAAATTATCAAATCTCATGTTTCACTGTAGAGATAGTCTTTAGCTAATTGAAGCTGACGTTTCATCTGTATTGATACACTAACTGTGCTCTGACCCCTTCCTTGCACTAGGACAAATTCACACAGAATAGCTGGTGTCCTTACTTTTAAACTCCTTTTGCCCCTAAAAGATAGAGACTGCATCAGACTGCCTGTTAGGAATGGTCCCTGACGCTCATAACTCCTGCACTGCACCTGGGAATTATATGGAAGTTGGCCCTTGCCAAAGCTCTACCTCTAGTAGAGGAGCTGCTTTAGCAATTTATCAGAACTGGTGCCCAGCATTGTTCCCTGGCTCTAACTGATGATGACAGATGTAGCCTAAGGCACAAAGTCATGAAGGACAAACTACCCCTCACCAGCCTTTCTTGGGGTTCTTGTGTTATCCCTGGAAGTCTCTGTTGCTAGTCTCTTGGAAACTGAACATATGTAGGATGGGCTGAAACCATGGTGTTCCTGGACTCCCACAAGAACTCTTGTTCCCAGCTCTTTTCCAAGCAAAGGCTGCTGAAAGTCACTGCCACAGCGAAGAAAGCCAAGTCACTTCTGATCTCTGAGGAATAACCAAGATCTGCTTACATGCCTTACTCCTATCACCTTAACAGGCTGGTAGATTAGTCTGCTTTGACAGCTGATGATTTATCCTTCTATTATTAGATGTGTTATTTCAAGATAAAGTGAAAAGATGGCATCAGGTAACAGAAAGGGCTGTTATATATCTTCCTGCCATTTTGAACATAATTATAAAAAATAGAAACAGGCAAGTAGTAGATTAATTATAGCTGAAGCTTGAATGCATAACTGAACGTAATTCATTTAACTGCCAACATTATTTTGACTCTGCCCAAGGCCTTCCCTAGCTTTGTGGACTCCCATCATGTTCTATGTAACTAACCTCAACACACCCATGAAGCAGAGGAGGGGTGTTGCCTCACTTTAATGAGTATTGAGACAAAAAGCGTAGAACCAGATTATTTAACATATTTAGGTGTTTAAGGATAGGAATAGAGTCTTAGCAGAGTTGTTACAAACCTGACATCTCTGCACGCAAGACAATGGCCTCAGGTCCTAGGGAGTACCCAGTGGATCTACAAAACCTGAACTAAACTCACCAATTTTAATTTTGAGGTGTTCAAAGTGTGCTAACTTTGGCTTAGAACCAGAGTCACCATGCAGGGCACTCTTGAATTATGCGGTTGATGGAAAGTACATGTCCTCCACTGAGATCTGCTACCTTGAAACAACTTCAAAATTTCTTTCTCCTACTACACAAGGATAAGACAAATTTGGTCTGTTATCATGGAGTTTCCAAACTGCTCAGCTCCTGCTGTGATGTAAACCCAGCCAGATTTCACATCCAGAGCTCACACCCACTGTGATGACTTTATAAGAGACTTCATCCAATCTATGAAAACCAGCCCAGGTGTTGGAGTGCTGAGCTTTTTGGCATATCTGGCTACCAGCACCAGGTGGTCTTGGGTGTCTTCTTTTTAATCCTGTTTTCATTCTGTTGCCTCCATGTTTAGCAAAGAACTGAGAGTTACTCATTTCCTTACATTTCTCCTGCATTGCTTATTGCAGAATATAGGCTTAGATAAAACAGGAAACAATAAACTCTGGACTGAAGGTTATGCCAGGAAAGGTGATGTGACTGGTCTGTGCAGACTGCTGTATAAAAAGGAGATTAGATTACTGTGCCTTTCATAACTCCAGTCGCTCAGCAGGGAAAAGAAATCTGCTTTATTTCAGTAGCTTACTGCTTTGATGGTTTAAGTCCCAAGGGCCTCTGTTCTAACTTTTCCTCAATCTTCTAAATCTTCAAAATATCATTTTATCTTTTTCCATTTACTTCACAGATCAAGTGGAGCTGAAATTATCCCTTCACCTTCTGTCATCCAACCAAATTCCATCACTGCTAAAACCCACTGACAGCTCTGACAAGGCAGGTAAGTAATGAACAGGACATTGATTGAGCTGTAAAGCAAACAAAGTACAATGCCTCCTTCTTATATGAGTGAAGCTTTCTCATCTGTCATGGACTGAAGAGTGAAGAAATTTAATTGGTCTTGAATAAAGTGAGACAGTCATTGCCAAATTCAGCCTGAACTTACCCACACTCATAGGGCATTTTGCACACACACTGAGACTGATGCACTTTCTCCCATGGCTGACATTTAGGCTCTGTCACTTCTGGTTTCACACTGGGCACTGAAGTAGAAGAACACAGACAGTGCTATTAAGGGTCAGAAAAACAAGGTCTGTTAAAGGTCTACTCTGAAATTATCCCATCAGTTGAGCTTATAAGGCACTGAATTGTACAACCATGACATAAAGTCACATCCTGCATGTTCATTAAAAGTATCTACTACATGGAAGAAATCAATACCATTAAAAAGATAGGTTACACTTTGTAGAGCTACTGTTCAGTAATTTATCCATGGGTCATGAGTCAGATGGAAGGAGACACGTACTATGTTCAAGCTTAAACATTCATCTAATTTCTGCAGCAGCTGTTTGTTTCTGCTAAACTTAGCAGTACTGAATCATAGCTGGCAAAAGCTTTAACGTTAGGTTTCAGAGGTATTGGCTTCATTACTGTCACTAGAAAAGCTAAGGCTCCGAAGTCCTATGTAGAAATGTAATATCTTTATGCATTCATGGTAATGAACACCACGAGTTCCATCCTTAGTCCTCAATCTACACTAACTCTCAAAATAAAAGCCATTGTGATTCTTGGGGAATATTCATGACTGCACATGTACTGTTCTTTGAGTGCTGAGTTGTATTCCAAGGTTGAAAATGAAATAGGCGTTTGCTAAATGTTCCTCTGGAGATTTCTGTAGCAAGTAATGGCAAGATTTGCTAAATCCATACAGACATACTTTGTGAGAAAGCTTTATCCTGATTTGTGTTTTAGACAAAACTTTAGTCTGCAGTTTTCTACTTTAACATGAAACTTTAATACACCTGTTGCCTTAAAAAAAAAAATCTCGCTTATAGATTAAGACTTGCCAAGCAAAATAGACAGGCAGAAATTGCCAGAGAGGTAAAGAAAAAAAAGAGTTGCAGTGCATTGCAATACAGACAGTAGGCATAACCCTGTCTTGCTGCAGAGGGGAAATTTCCACTGAAAATCACTGTGTTGTCTCCATCCCTGGGTTTATATAGTTGACTGTTACCGACACTACTGCTGACTAAATACTCTCACTCAAATGTATGTGTGCCACTGTGTCTGTGTACACATATCTTCTTAACTTCTATGCTTCTTATCTTATATTCCTTGGGTTTTTTTAACTGTTGTTCTAATCTAATTGTTGTCCCTTTTTTGTTTTTTAACTTTTGTACTAATGCAATGCTCCCACACAGGCAGGCACAAGCTGTTTCTAAAGACGGAAGCATTTGAAACGGTTTCTAATTATTGGAATTTCATGGAATTTCAATATATGATGTAACAACAACAACAACAAAAAAAAAAAGAAAATCAGTTACTAAGGTTAAGCCTAAGGAGAAACTGGCAACAGTACTTTAGCACTGGTACTTTAGCAGCAGTGAGTCATTTATTTACAGCTATGTTATTCCTTCTGAAATCCTTACACGTCCTGTTTATGTGGATATGACACAGTAGCAGACGATTCTCTGGGAAGACCTTATTGCAGCCTTCCAGTCCTTAAAGGGGGCTTAGAAGAAAGATGGGGACAGACTTTTTAGCAGGGCCTGTAGCGACAGGACAAGGGTAATGGTTTTAAACCAAAAGGGAGTTGATTTAGACTAGACATAAGGAACAAATGTTTTCCACTGAGGGTGGTGAAACCCTGGCACAGGTTGCCCAGAGAGGTGGTAGATGCCCCATCCCTGGAAACATTGAAGGTCAAGTTGGATGGGGCTCTGAGCAACCTGGTCTAGTTGAAGATGGCCTTGCTGATTGCAGGGGGATTGGACTCAATGACCTTTGGGGATCCCTTCCAAACCAAACTGTTCTATGATTTTATCACTTACACTGGGAATCTGACAGGACTGTTGCCTTTTGAAGTCTAAGCCTGATTGTAACCTGTCCCTGCAAGCCAGGCAACCTCAGGCAGCAGTTGGCTAATAAGGGGAGGGCAGACATGAAATATAGGAGACATGTCTAATTTTCTACAGCAGTGGCTGTTGTCCCCAAGCAAAGGTCAGGGATATGAGAACATGTGGGACCTTGGGTGAGGATGTGACTGGCCTGAAGCAGCAAGCTGCTTGGATGTCTGTATGTCACTGACTAGCATTGTAGGAGTGCACAAAAGAGATCCTTGTCTGCCTTCCACAGCTGGAAAATATGACTTAGCTAGAGCTGCTATAGCCCATTTCCCTCTCTGCCAGTGTGTGCCAGAATCAGCCCAAAGCTTAAAGAGCTGTTAGCATGAACTTACAGCAGCATTTTCCCATTGCTTCCAGTTCCTGAAGATTTACTCTATATATATCAGTTTATATATATCTATATATATATCAGTTGTGTGACTGTCAGATGTACAAAAGGAGTCATCCAGCCTTCTCTGCCAGGCAAGGCTGTGGTGCACGGAACAGCTTCCAGATAGAAAAGCCATATCTGTATGGTGCAGCTCACATGGTGGTGGTGTTACACAACATGGGTGGAAAGTGAAGTATACTGGAGTGGCAGAATAGGCAGCATACATCCCAGGCAACCTCTTAAAATATTGTTAGTGAAAATACTTGATAGTAATAGGGGAGTGGGAAGAAAAAAAACTGTAAGGAAACCTCACAAGAATTGTCATAAGGCATCTTGTTTGAACAGCCACAGAAAACATACACTCACATTTTCTGTGCTTCCTGCTGGTGATACAAGTATGGCTTCTCTATCACTGTATCATAGTATGTGCAGGAAAGAAACTGCTGCATTGCACTTGGAGGACTGCAGTGGCTTACCTGGTCTCTTGCACTGGATAGTCTTCGTGTCAGGAGACCACTTGAGACTGGGCTCACACAAAACAGAGCTTGCCCCTTCTAAGTGCATGCCATGTGGACAAGACAGAGTTATTCTCTCACCAATCTCATACACAGGTTTCCATGGCTCTCCTTGCAAACCCCCCTCCAGGACAGGCAGGAGACAAGCAGTTTCTGAGGATTGAAACATTTGAGATAGCCACAGTGAATCAGTGGATTGCAGAAAGCAGTCACGTATTTTATCTTAAATTCCTTAACAAATTGAATGGTAAGATTAGCTGATTTTCCTGTAGAAACACATCAGTCGTGTTAACACAATCAATCATCACACCAGCCAAACATGTGCAATAGTAAGGACAGAGTGATAGTATCTTATCCTACTGCCTGCAGGTCCAGCCCTAACTTGAACAGGGCTTCTCTATTCTTAAGATCTGTGCTTCTGTCGAGGGTTCATACTTGACATACTCATAGAGAGTAACATGATAGTAGTGAGAGGTCATACATACAGGACCCTGGGAGAATGTGTACTGACATACAAAGAGATGAAATTTAAAGAATGTGGACTAGCATTTGTGGGTAGTTAGTGCTGGTTGGAAGGAGGAAAGGATTGTGTTAAACTACAGGTCTGAAAAGTCCCAAGTCTATCTGGTCACACTCAAAGTTGACTCACAAATAAAATGTGCAGGGGAAAAAAGAAACCCTAATGGTTACTGTCTGGGTTAGAAGAAAAGAGTGAAGTGAGGAGATCATCCAAGACAAAAAGTGATCTTTGGATTTGTGTTCTTATGACAAGGGGGCAACTTGAGAACTTTGTGGTTGCCCAGTGCTGCCTGCTGGACCTTTTCCTCAGTTTGCTTTAGACATACACTTATCCCTATGGTTCTTGGATATAGCCACAGGCCTAAATTAAGCAACAAAGTTTGCTTCCATAGGATGTAATTCCTGGACTGGAATTCAGTCTCCCTCACTTCCAGTCTTCCTTAAAACTGGACTTTATGAGCATGTTTCTATTTCAGTATTACAATATTTGGATTAAAAATAGAAGTAAGTTTAGACCTGATTACGTTTAGGGAACTAGGAAATGCAGGTGTGTACTTTTCCACTGTTGTTGTTGTTGCAAAGCAGACACTCAGAGATGGAATTTTCTTTCAAAACAAGAGTATTAGACATACCCTGGCAATATCTGTCTCCAACTTGCCACTGTAAATTACTGCTGCACTTAGCAACAGGATCACCAACAAGAGAATATCCATGTCTGCAAGCATAAACAATGTTTTTCCCAACAGGGTATGAGTTTTCAGCATTCTGAAAGAAAAGGAACAGGTGAAATTTTGGATATACAATCTAAGAACTACTAGCAGCATTGAACACCCTTTAATTCTGGGCTGCAATAGCTGAAGACAGTAAGAAGTATTAATGTCACTCTACAATGCACTGATGAGAGCGTCTAAAATATTGGGTGCAGTTATCAGTAGTGAGTAAATGTGATCAAAATGGAGATGATGCTGCAAATAAGTTGGTAAAATACAGAATAGTCAGGCTATCTTAACTTAGGAAAGGGAGGGTTAGAGTTGAAGGTACTCTGTGACAGGGCTCTGGCAGTGGTACGTCAGTGACGAAACAGCGCTCTCCTGCCAGTGTAGAAACTGACTGCAAATATGGCTGTTATGAAGCATTAGAGGGGGAAAATAAGCTCTTGAACAGCTTTCCAGGGGAGCAGTGAAGAGTATACGGCTTTGCTAATTCTTAGGATGGCATGTTATCTGCTTGCTAAAGGTTAATGTGATATGGTCAGTCAGAAGAGATGGACTTGAAGACAAAGGTCTTTTTCCGAAGGAGAGATTTTTTGAAAAATCCAGATTACTCCACAAATTGCAGGGTTTTACCTTTAGTTTATGAAACAAACATAACATATCAATATGGGAGACACCTAGTGATTACCAGAAAAAAAAATCACTGGCAAAAGAAGAAGCACAAAATTTTGGAACTTGCCTCAGGTTGCAGTTGTGTAGAGACAACTAATGGATTTTGAATGAATCTTTTTATCTATTTATTGAGCAAAAAGACTCTAGACAGTCTCGTAACATGGAGAAGGCATAATCTGTTCTTACAAGGAACAAATTTATTCTCCCTTGTTAAATAGGCCCAAGTTACAGTCAGCCAAACACCTTGCCAGATCACAGTTTCACCAGGGAACAAGAAAGTGCAATGGTGAGTTACAGGGTATAGAGTGAAGATTCCTAAAATGTTTATAATTTTGCTATGGACTTGCTGGATGACCTTGGAGAGTTTACTTTCTGTACTGTTTTTTCTTTAGTGTCCCGTGCTTTAATATGTAATTCCTGTGGCACAGAAAATTTTTAATATGCTTATATGGTAAAGGACAAGTAGTTTACTTTTCTCTGTAGGTACCATGGTACAGAAAAGTGAAGATTTTGTTCTGGTTTTGGGGGTGGGGCTTTTTTGTTGTGGGGTTTTTTTTTTCTTTTTAGTAAGAATTCTTGGCTAATGTCATGTAAACATCATCCAGGGAGAAATGCTGAGAAAGCTGCTAAACAGTAGCTCTGATACTAAGCTTACCAAGATAAATACAAATTTGCAAGTGGATATCTGCATTAACTGTAGTAGGGACACTGCAGGTAAGGATAGGACAGATAATAGAGTTCTAGAATAACTCACTTGAACAAATCCATTTTCCAAGAGAGGAGGAGGTGAACAGAATTCTGTAGGAGTTATGGATAAATCAAAACAGTGTGGTTCAATCAATCTATGAAGCAAACAAAAGTATGATTTAATTTGAATTTAGTCTCCCTTCCTTTCAAAATACTACACTCCTCGGTGAAGCCCATTTTCAAGACTATTATGCATTCCATTTACATCACAATTATACTCAAATCAGGCACTGCCAGGCTGAGAAAGTGCTAAACAGAATGGTGTCAAGTTGACTGGCTTTTACCTCATTTTCAAATCTTACCTGGTATTAGATTCACAGCTTCTGAATTTCATTTTGTTTCAACTTAAATATGAAAGCTCAGTAAGTGATCTTCTCCCTGAATTCAATAGCTTATGCATCTTTCTGAAATACATTTTTAAATTTTGCTGTAGCTGTGCTCCAGATGTTTCTTTTCTGCTTACCGAAAATGCTGCAACTCTTCATCCTCACATGGTCTGCTTTCACGCTGCTCTCCTATGCAGGCCTTCCCACCACCACGTGGGGAGGGGTTGTTGCAGGTTCTACTCCTTGATTTCCTTCCCCCCGAACAAGGACTCCAGGAAGACCAGCAGCTCCAGTGTCCATCAACAACTCCTGTGTAACATTTGATAATATTTCACATTAAACCACTTTGCAGGTTTATTGTCCTTGAAGAAAAAAAAAACATGTGCTGTTCAAATCCAAACTTTGCAGGTCCATTGTCCTTGAAGAAAAAAAAACATGTGCTGTTCAAATCCGAACTGTGACCTTACAAAGAATACCAGATCCCAATGATCTAATCTTACCTAAACTCACCTTTCACATAAGTATAATTCCATGGAGTCTGTAAATTAGCTATTTTTATATTCTCTTAAACTCTGATATCAGATATAAATAATTAAAAAAATAAAGAGCAAAATTTTTTAAGTTATTGATACTCATTCATTTAGTATGTATACTTATAGAAAGTTGCGTTTTGAGTGGTTAGTATTGTCTACTCCATTTAACAATAATAATAAAAACAGTTCTTTGTTAAGTACTGTTTGGAGATGTTAAGCAAAGACTCAGGCTCGCCATGACCCTCCCCATGCCGCGTCTCTGCAGCAATACCTGAGCCAAGCAGCCACTGCACATCAGCCACTCATGCAGGTTGTGCAGTAGGACAAACAGACTCTGGAAGCAGGAGAGCACACTTGGCCACTTTTAAACTCTGACAAGTTTAAAGAGTCCTGACCTGGCTGATCTTGCACAAGAGTTCCCAGCTCACAAGCTGATCCAAAGGTGTAAGGCTTGCAGTAACACACGCAACGAGTTCCTTCCACGGCCGCCTCACCACCATTCTGGCAAGGCTGACATTTGCAGGGATCATTTTCAGCCATATATTCTTCAATGGCTTGTTTTAGGTAATGCTTTTTGACTGAGGAGCAGGGCACTTCCTTTACCAGCTCATATAATGGTGTCAGCTACACACAGTAGAGAAACATTTATATTAAATAGTTATAGTCAGGATATAAGAGTTTATGAGCACATTTTGTTATGTAAGATAATTTGTGATGTATGCTTCTGCACATGGGAGTTGACAGATGCTGTAATTTGCTAGCTAGCTAGCTTAAATATTATGTTAGTATTTAATATTAGCCTTTTTCTGAAAAGTCAGCTCTGCTTAACAGCATCCCTTAAAGATAGCGGTAGATGTTTAAACATATTTGAGCTACGAGATTACAGTTGAGGTAAAAGTGTGACACAGACCACCACTGTACATACAAGTTACAGTTCAGTAACCTGAATTCTCACCTAGCTATTCCCAGCTTAAAAAGCTGCACATTTAAACAACTCATTATGTTATTTCATAGACCAGTGATTGAAGGTAACAATAAGCAAAAACATTTTACATTTCTATTGCCTACTTTATGCTATTCTATGCTTTTACATTTAATTGAAAGCTTCCTGACAGAAATCTTTTGGGTTTATACCATTCTTCAGTATGTGGGCAATTCCCAAAAGGGATTTAAGACAAGGTAGCAGTGAATATGATCATGCCCAGTTTAGAAGTGTCCCGCTTCCAGAATCTCCAGTTATGCCAAACTTATGGATGCAGAGAGAAGGAGGAGCGATAAAAGGGATGCACAGTAGTTGGCAAGTTGAGTGGAAGCTACACAGACCTGCCAATATGCATTTCAGGAAAGGGGCTATCTGAAATCCAGGCTTTCTCCAATGCTAGCGTGACCCTCTCTTGTAAGCAGAACTCCACTGAAATCACTGAAGGCTTGTAAGATGGTAGGTATCGACCTGCCAGAGGACCTAGATTTGTGATCCAGCTGATCACGTTGGCTTCACGGAATTTTCTTCCTGTGAATTTTTCTTTTCTTTTTTTTAAAGTGATCTGAAAACAAAATAATTGAAGACTACAGCCTGATTAATCACCAGCTATAGCTTAATCATTTCTCCCCTGGAGGTGATCCCACCTGCTAATCTCTACTTCAGGAAAATAGCCTTACCTTTTGTTTAATTACTCTGGGATAGTCTGTCACTGATCTGGCCCAAAAGGAGTATCTCTGACTGTTCCCAGCAGGATTATTCAGCTCTAGATAACTAAGGCCAGCAACAGCACCTGGGCTTCCTCCTTCTATGTATGGGTCTCCTTTAATCTTATTACCACTGCTTCCTGTAGATTCAGGATGGGAAATACAGAAAATACCACATTGCTATATTTACAAATGGAAGTAGAAACAATACATGCAAAAACTATACTAGCAAGTAGTGGAGATCAATCACCTGTGCCTTAGGTGCCTTAAGAACAGCTACATGGATAATATAAAAGAAGTATCTGTTTTTGCAGGTGTCTTGGCAGCCCTGACTTAGGTTGTCCAGAAAAGTACTAGTTACTGGGAAAGCATTATCAATGATTGATGGTGTTGGAGAGCCTTTTAAACTAGGCAGTTGGTGTCTGGGTTCAGCGTGTTGAGATAGAGTTCAACAAAGCTATCAACACCTGCTTCTCATTTTGACAGCTATTTAGAAGGAGATGAAAGCTGCGTCTGCAGCATGACAACAGCATGAGTCACCGTTGAACTTTACCTGAAGAAGTCTGTAGCAGTTCATCCAGTTTGGAGCACTTTACTTTCTTCTTCTTCACAATGAATGCATTCCAGCCTGATGTGGTGCACTCGTACATGTCTGTAATGCTCATACCTGCAGATATTCCATCCATTAACAATACTGTACACAGAAATTGTGTTGGATTCATTTTCGAGTCTCCTATTGACTTGAGGTGTGTTTTAGAAAGAAAAGAACCATGAAGTATTATCCCTAAATTAGAGGCAACTAACTAATACATCCTGTGGGAAGGCCCATGCATTGCTAAAGCCTATGGATGGAACCTGAGAGATGGGAGGTATATCTGGAAAAAGTTTATTATTCCTTTAATCTCTTTTCTCAACAATCCCTAATCCTACAGCACTGCTCCCAACTGAGTACCATCATACATGTCACTATGATGTTTTGTTTGCTCTGTTTGTAGTTTATTCTGCTTTACACAGTTTTACCCAATCTTCATCTCGAAGTAACTTTTAAGCTTTAACACTATTTGAGATATAGATTGGCACTAGAATTCAACTTTAGCCTGATGAGGTCCTGAAACAACTATCAAATCTTTACCACCCACAGCACTGCAGGTCACAGATGTGATCTAGAACTAAATGTTGTGGTCTGAGCACTTTTTCTAATCTTCTTTCTTTTAGCCATGAAGAGAACATGGTGACTGGTAAAAGTCTCTTACTTGATTTTGGATATTAGCTGGGAGAACATGCAAATGAATTTTTATTCTTGTTTATTCACTTTGTTTCTTGTAACAAATAGTCTAGTAATCTACCTTCTGCTTTCATTTTGTCGGTATCCATATAAAAAATAACTTTGTAATGTCCTCCTAGAGATCCAGACTGTAAGAAATGAGTCCCAAAATGTTCAATAAGTCTTCGGTAGACATTGTACTCATAGACGACTGGAAGGTTGGCCAGTTCCTTCCAAAAGGCCTCCGCAAGTGTGAGAAAATCTGGGCGGTTGTTAATAAACTGAGCAACTTCCACACTGTTCTCAACAACCATCAGCTGTTTACTCTGCGGGAAGGAAAAGAAGTCAGTCATGCTCCATGTCACTATCAGTGTGGTTCCTACTAGCCAGAGGATATGTACGTTATATTGGCTACTAACCAGCGCTTTACAGAGCTGTTAGGTTTGTCTAAGCAACTTGGTGAATGCAAAAAGAATACCCTGAAGTTAGGAAATATCTTTTGGACCTTTATGCGTAATTGCTGTAACATCCTTCTTTTCCACCTGGGTGCCTGAAAGCTAGCATAAGGACAAATAAGAAAGGAAAATATTATTCTTCAAAACTAATAGTGGTTTCCATACTAGAAGCCTGTCAGTAGCAGGTTAACAAGCCTTGTTTGAAAGCAAATCAGAGGCACTAGAGAGGTCTTCTTTGCACCCTGTTTTGTCTAGAGGAGCCTTTCTTTGTAAGGGTCTCTAGCCATTTTGAGGATGTTGCTGAATGATAAAATCCTATATGCCTATACAGTAACACTCACCTCAGCCTCTCAGTTACTTTTGAACTTTGTTATGCTAAGTTTCAACATATGCCACTGTTACTGTGGTAAAATGAGCTTGTCCTCTGTCAACTTGAGGGACATAAAATGTATAAACATGTACTTGATTCTATTTGCTATAAGATAGAGGTTATACTTCATAATTGAGAATTACTCTCACATGATTTATCTAATGCTTCCTTTTAAATAAGTCAAAAGCACTGTGACCTCCTGTCTGTTTAAGACACCAGATCTCTCTCTTAATGGAGTTCTACTAGTAGAACCACTTAATGGAGTTCTACTAGTGGAAAATGTATTACAAAATAATTAATCACAGAATTATTTCAATATTTTTCCTCCAAGATACTGACAGAAGTAATAGAAAAAAAGAAGTGCAGTAAACTATTAGAAGAAAATGGAAAAGTTTAGTCAATAATGAGAAGAAGCTAATGTTTTTCTTCCTCAGATAAGGAGGAATTCAGCTAGTAAATAAATAAATTACTAATAAAGAGGTAAAATGGAGAAAGTAAAAACAGAAGCCATCCTTTCTTAATTGATACCTAAACCAGCGATCTCTTTGTAAAGCTTTTATGGGATTTTTTTCTGTCATGCACGTTGTGCCAAAAATATCAGGATAAAATAAATATTTGCATCTGACTATAAAAGCACATGAAAAAAATTATGAAAATATTTATGCAAAACATTAAGCCACTGTGACAATTTATACATACCTTTTGACTGTGTTGCAGAATTTTATTCTGTGAATAACTGTGCCCACTGTTTGATTTTTCATACCTCTCTGTGTGTTTCATATAAGACCAGCTGCTGTTGAAAAACTCATAACTGAAATCATTCTGAATTTTAACCTAGAAGATGAAACACAGAATTCTGTATAAAGAGCTTGAAGAATGTTAAAAATGGTAACTTATAGAGTAGAGCGAGTCTCTCCTGATGCAAAAAAAAATGATATGTTTTTCAGGCTGAATCAATTTCAGATTTCCTAAAAAAGTACTGAACACTACTGGAAAAGCATTACATATATTTTTAATGTATTTGTATATTAAGTATTTACATTACAAAGTAAAGTACATTAAGGATTGCTTGGCATG